ATTATGTAAAAAAAGTAACTGTAGGTACGTAAATGCAATAGTCTTTTACATATCCTGGAAAATACTTTTGAGGACTCTCGAATTGGACGATATTGCTTTCCATTCAGCTTGAACGAAAAAAGTCACTCCCTGGCATACTTTTCTGTAATCCGGTTCTTTCATTTAAAGGTTATTTATAAAATTGAAGATTTTTTTTTTTAGAAAAAAACTGGAGATCCACTTAAGTTTTTCGATATAACTTTGGTAAATGTTACTCGATCGGCACGTAATAATTACCAAATTGAAGGCGAGACTTTCTATTACTGATTTATGATAATAATATGATGAAAATCATTCAGATTATAAACAAATTATTTTAAAATAAAAAAAAATGTTTAACAAAATTTTTTGTCATTTTCCTATATTTGCAATTTTTATATTGTATGCATAAACATAAGTAAACTAGTGTTTCTAGAAGTTGTGCCTGTTCAGTGAAGAGAAGAAGATCCTTAACAGCGGTCGCCCCTCGACAGGCAATGGCAAACCTCCGAGTGTATTTCTGTCAAGAAAAACAGCGTAAAACTGTAAGTCCCTTCCCTTTGTGTGACAACATCAAGGCGCACGCCACAAATCGGAGGAGAAGCTCGGCCAAACACTAACATATGTGTAAGCGCCAATCTATTACACAAGGGAACAAAAAGGGGGAACAATTTCGTTAAATCAAATGTTAAAGCTGTTTTGGATAGACTTTTTTATGCTGATTACGAATTCGTAAGTATAAAGTCTCCATGACCTCTAGATTTGGAAAAAAACGAGGTCAAAGTGTCAAAAAATCGCGTTTTTTGCAATATTTTAGGAGCCATAGCAAAGAGCCTAAAGGTGATATTAGGCTTAAATTAAAGCTAGAAGTCTCGACTACTATCCCTGAAAATACTATCCCTGCACGTTGAATTGATGGTCACTTATAGTAATCAGCACCAAAAAAGTCGTATCAAAAACAGCTTTAACATTTGATGCAACAAAAACACTGTTCCCTTGTGTTATTATTATTTTTAAAAGAACCTAACCAATTTGTTCTAACAAATCGTTTCTTAAAATGTACCTATGAGATGGATTTTTCGTATAGTACATATTGGAAAAATTCATGGAAAATTTGCTAAGTCCAACAAAAAAATTTTAAGAAAAAAGTAGAAAATTTGCTAAGTCACAAAACTATCCACAAAATTTTGTAAAAAAGCAGACTTTGTTATTTTTTTTTTAATAAAGGGTAAATGAAAAACACGAAACGTTGCATTCAAAGTTTTGCAAAATACTGAAAGAAAATTACTTAGCAACGTTTTTTGTGTCTCCTGTACAATTGAAAAAAATGACTTAGCAACTTTGCACTCTAAGCTAGCGATATTTCAAACAAGTTTAAACTGATTTTTAAAAACTTTATATCGTCGTAATACTTCGTATGTATAAATCTGAGAAAAAACATTTAAAAGGAAATAATACCTTTTTTTATAAAAAAAATATTTTAAACAAAAACGCAATACGGGTTCACTATTAGTTCATAAAATATAAAAATGTTATTCATTTTAACATGAGTGTACACATCATCGTACACGGGAGCCAATAAATTATTTTATATTTATGACATTTTTGAATAGCAATAATGAGATCATTCCCATTTTCAGGGTTTAAATACTCAAAGAATTCTATGCATTTCATATTAAAATTACTTTTAATTTGAAGTTCACTTTCAAAAATTCTAATTAGAAGCCGGTTTCTCTCTTTGCGCCAGGAAACAAACTTTATTCTTACGATCCTCTCATACTGTAAAAAATTACAAATTTTTAAGGAGTTTATCTATATTTCCTCATGGCTTAAATAATTTTTCAACTACGCAAAAATTGTGAAAGACTAAGAATTCGCTAAAAAGAGTATCTAACTCTATGTCTTGTATGCAAAACTCTTTTACAGAGTCAGTAAATTGAGAAAAAGGAGTTGTAAGTTATAGGCAAAAGCAATTCGAATATTGAAATTTATTGTTATTAAACTGAAAGTTATTTTCGAGATAACTAACAACACTCGACAAAGATGTAAGCCTTCTTTTTAAATAATTTAAGCTCCATCATATTATCGCAACTGGTACGTAACGACCCGGCGATATGCCCATAAAACGATTAATCTTTTTGTTGTATTAATTTCTTGAGCATATCAAACATTATCTAAAACATGTAACTATAGTTAAATTTTATTCTTCTTATTTTTTACAGTACAGTTTAAGGAAGTTCCAACGTTATGTAAAAACCTTAATATTACATTTACATTGAGCCCAAATGCGAATTTCAAATGAGTCATTTAAAAGTCGTTTACATTTTCTCATTCGCATTTCCTCTGACAGTTAATTTTAAACGTCTGTTTTATATTATTAACATTTTTAAAAAGGGAAAAAATGAAATTAAATTTGGTAAATTCGGTTATTATTGCCGAATTGAATCGTCTGATTCAAATGCAAGCTGGAGTTGAAGCTCTTGCGCAATCCAGCAGTTATTATAAACAAAAGCGGCTGCGGATAAGGGCGAACAAAAAGAGATTTCTTATGCACCTGAACATGTTGGTGCAGCTGACCAGTGGAACGCAAAAACGCCGCAAGCGATTTTGGAGAAAGGTAAAATATTTAATATAATTATTACAGCAAATAGCGCTGCGACCTTACTAGAGCTGCCGAGTTATACGCACCAAAAGAAAGGCTGAGAACTTTTGACTAGTTTTGCAAGAGTCAAGTCCTCTTAACAGAAATTTAATAAAACACAAGTATTAAGAAATACTATAACTTTACCCAATTTTCAGCCTCGTCAGAGTAGTTTTTGGGAACAAGAAGTTCCAGAGAGCGACGATGATTTCTTCAAAGAAAATTTTCGAATGAAAAAAGAAACTTTTGACGAATTGGTTATGGCCATGCGAAATATGAAAAAAAGCTTCAAATTTTGGACAACCAATTGCTTTAGATAAAAGGATTGCAGTCGCGGTGTATACTCTGGGATCTTCCGCAGAATACAGAACTATAGGAAATCTGTTTGGTATTTCCAAGTCAGCAGTATGTATGATTCTGAAGGACTTTTGCAAGGAAGTATGGAGGGTAATGCAACCTACGTACCTTAATAAGTATCCTCTCAGTGAAGCTACTGTTCGAGAATGTGTGAATGGTTTTGGAAAATTGGGATTCCCCCAATGTATCAGCGCTGTTGGTAAATTTTAAAAATATACTCATATATATATAGGTTGGTATTGAATATATGCCTAAAAAGTAAATGCTCACATTGTTTATTATAGGTACAGATTTATGTATATAAACGTAGGCACCCCTGGACGGTGCAACGATTCCCACATTTTCGAGAAATCTGCTTTGAAACAGCATCATCAAAACCCTATCCTTACGCACTTGTCTACGCAAATAAACGGAGTTAACGTTCCAGTTGTAATGCTTGGAGATTCAGCTTTTCGGTTTTCGGACATATTAATGAAACCTTATCCATATAGAGAGAATGCTAGCTTCAGTGAAAAAAACTTTAATTATGCCCTGTCTAAGTGCAGAAGGGTAGTCGAGAATGCATTTGGTCATCTCAAAGCTAGATTTAGAAGAATTGGAAAAGGTCTTGATAACCGAATTGACAATGTAAATTTAATAATTAAATGTGCTTGTGTTTTACATAATTTTTTAAACGAGAAAAACGATTGCATAAACAATCGCTGGATGCAACAATTACGGGAGCAGGAGGAAACCGTAGTCCGACCGCAGCCGGAGTTTAATTGTACCCTGACTGATAATAACCTCACAGCGGATAATATAAGATCTGCTATAGCAATGTTCTTAGGTAAGCATAAATTTCTATGTATCTTTATTTATTATTTATTTATACATATTTATATCTATTTATTTATGTTTTTTGTTAAAACAGTTAGACAGCCACTACCCGCTTGATTTTCCACGCAACTCTTATATGTTGCAACTAAGTACATATTGATCCAGGTAATAAACTATCTACCTGCCAAATTTCAAGCAAATCCATTCAAACTCACAAATATACAAACTTTCGCATTTGTAATATTAGTATTAAGCAGGATCCCTTACTTTATTTTATCTATTGTAAACTATTTCACATGAAAAAAATAATCTACATTTTAACAATTACTATTATTGCTCTGAAAATAAATGAATTAGTAATGGACTAAATTTAATTTGTTTTTTTTTAATCACTGTCTTTAATGATTTTTATTATTTAAAATTTGTAAGAGTGAGTTTTGAAACTTTTTAGAATCGCTTACAAATTCTTCTAACAAAACATTCCGTCGCTCCTCTATATTAACTAATTTTGAATCGATAACGTTTTCTTCCTGATGCATTGTTTTTATTAGCTCTTTCGTCTCTTGAATTTCCGTTATGAGACTTGCGTTTAACTTCTGCTTTTTCGATTTGGAGCATCTAGCACACTCGACCTCTACCGGAGCGAGGGAGTCAGAGCAGGAAGCCCCAGAAATGTCCAGTACTTCCGACGATGGAGTGTTAAATAAATACTCTGAAATTGTGTTTGTACATAAGTATTTAAATTAAATACGCACATATATAATAAATGATCAATTTCATATACATACCTATGGATACACTTTCTTCAACAAGTTCTTCTATGTTATTGCATTTAAAACCACCTATAATGGCATGTACTCGCTGATAGTGTGGCCAGTCTGATGGTGATCCACCTGACACACCAATATTCCCCTTTTCTTTCCTGAAAGTAATTGTAAACATAAGAGATATACATTTTAACGCCAGTATATTATATATAATAGTTAGCTTACCTATATTTCCCAGTGAGGTTATTTATTTTTTACCGCACTTCCTCACTGCTGACACACACTCCAGCGTTTTTAAGGGATTCTGCCATCAGTTTAAAGATGTGGCCGTTCTTCCTGGCCCCACGCAGGTCCACTATATTTGCTTCCCATAATTCCAGCAGCATCTCCTCCGCAAACGGCGACCAATTAGTTGTTTCCTTTTTTGCACTCTCCATTTACTAAACATGTTTGTAAGAACATATTTTTTATTTATTATATAAAATATTTCAAATGAAAATACTAACCGTTTACTTTTGATTGTTCCAGATTTTTTATTAATTGTGTAGACATTCGATTGACAAGTGTCAAAAATAAGCAAAAGCCTTGCCAGGGCTACTATTTTTTGATGCGTTCGAGAAAATATGTAATGCGTCATTTTGGAAATGTGAATTTGTATGAGGAAATGCGTGATTTAGCTTCGCATTTCAGATTTCTCGCCCAAATGACGCATTTGGGTTAATGTAAATGTAATATAAGAAAAGTATTTTGGTTTGAATAGAAAATTAAGTACAAATCAGTACAAATTTTGAAAAATCAGGACATTAGCGTACTGATTGAAGAAATTAATAAAATCAGTACAAGAGTTGAAAAATCAGTACTGTACTGATAAAATTAGTACGTCTGGCAACCGTACGTAAAATACGCTTTTTGTTTTATATTACATTTACATTGGACCAAAATGCGTGATTTGAAATCAGTCATTTGAAGGTGTTTACACTGCTTGATCCGGATTTGCTTTGACTTCTCATCAAATGAAAAGGGAAGACAAAAACAAAATGTATGTAAACAAACATTTATTATATTGTTAACGCTTTTTGGACACAAAAAGGCAATTATTTTTTGATTAAACTAAAAATGTGTAAAGCTCTTGTATAAATTAACAATTTTTACACACAAATTTCAAAGATTTATTTATTTCGTTGTGTTTGTTTTGTGTTTGAAAAATTCCAAATGTCAAAGACAAACCAAAGCTTTTGTGGAACTTTTGTTTCTGAGTGCGTTCAATAAAATAGTACGGCAATTGGAACGCATTTGTTTCGTGATTTTGTGTAAATGCGTCGAAATGCGTAATTCTGGAAATGTGAATTTGTATGGAGAAATGCGTGATTTGGCCTCGCATTTGAGGTTTCTCGCCCAAATGACGCATTTGGGCTCAATGTAAATGTAATATTATTATAAAAAATACAATTTATTCCAAGGTGAAATCATATAAGGTGATACCAGAAGTTCAAAAACAAAACGGTCACTAACAATTTTACGCGTAATTACAATAGTTTCAACAAATACATCATTTTGACAATAAGAATCACCAAGGCGAAAATCCAGCTGCTCTGATAACACTACCTTACCTGAATTCGCCTTCTTTTATTCTATATGAGTAAAAACTATCTAATATTGTTTCTTTTAAAAAAA